TGGGTTGTGCACAAGAAGAAGTGGGCGCAGGTCGGCGGGAAGCGGGCGCGGCCCAAGCCAGCGCGAAGATCCGCTACCACAACGTGCCTGGCCAGAGCAAGTCCAGCGGGGCGAAGCGCCCGGGGGTGAAGTGCGGCACCCAGGTGATCGACCGCGCGTGGGGCGACCTGCGCAAGGCGGTCGGCAATGACAATGCGAAGACGGTGGGGTCTGTCTTGCTCCGCAACAAGGCAGGCCGGATGAACGGCGTGCAACGCGTTTGTTCGCGTTGGCGCCGCCTCTGCAATCTTCAGCGCAGCTGAGCGCCGCCCCAGGGGGGTTGGAGGCGTTGCCCGGCGCGGGAAAGGTCGGCGGGTGGCTTGTGCTGAAGTCTGGAGATGCGGCCCAGCGCGACTTGCGTAGTTGCGGGCCGCTCTTTGGCCTACGCAAGGTGCGCTCCTTCCAGTGGGCGCACTGGAACCGCGGCGGCGACCTCTGGCTCGCCGCGGGCCAGATGCTCCGCGACGCGCGGGCCAAGGACCACGCTCAGTGAGCTCCCTCGCTGAGGCATCCGAGCCCGCATGGAGCTCGGCGCGCAGGAGCAGCCCGTCTATTTCGGTTTGGCCGAACTGATTCCTCAGACAGGAGGTGCGTCCACATTGCCACTCTTCATATAGATGCCACCCGCGTTGCGATATGTCGGGCGAGTGACATGAGAGCGCCCAGGCGAAATGTGCGCGGATCCGCATATTGATTGTGACCATCGTGAAGTGGACTGAACATCATCATCTTCAGCTGCGCGTGGGCGCTACCGCGCGCCTCGCCTCATTGCATTGCAGCCGCATTGCGCCACATTGCAATCGCATTGCATCAACCGCCCCGTTGCTTCCCCCCGTTGCACTGCAATCGCTTTGCATTGCAATCGCATTGCGTTGCAATCGCATTACATGGCATTGAGTCGCGTGTCGATCGCATTGCGTTGAATTGCAATGCGATCGCACTGCGTTGCATTGATTTGGAGAAGGAAGGAAGGGGGAAAGACAGATCATTGCATTATGATTGTGGTCACGCTGTGATCCTGGCGTATTCGGTTGGAGAGAAAGAGGAGGAGGAGGAGGAGGAGGAAGAGGAGGAGGAGGAGGATCAGCAGGAGGATGAGGAGGATGTGGATGAGGATGAGGAGGGCGAAGAGGAGGATGGGAGGATGATGACGAGGAGGAACAACAAGAGGATGAGGAGGGTGAGGGTGAGGACGATGAGGATGAGGAGGATGAGGATGATGATGAGGAGGGAGAGAAGCAGCAGCAGCAACAGCAACAGCATGGCCACGAAACCGTGCTATTTACAGGTTTGTTCAGTTTGTTTGGTCAGGGGGGCCACCAAACACTGCTATTCACATGTTTTTTTTTTGTTTTCAGGGATCAACCAACATGGCGCGAAGCGCCACTGCAGTCTTGTATCTATGTGAATCTATGTATGTATAGTTATACATTCATGCATCTGTATATATATATATATATATATATATGTGTGTGTATGTACATCCTTAGATATACATATGTATGTATATATATATGGTTTCGGAAAACCCTGAATTGGCGTTTTCCGACCACGCCGGCCGCGCCGGCCGCGTGTCCCGTTCTTCGATGGCGATCCCCAGCGGAATCCGGATTGCATCGGCAACGCGCCATGAGTAGCGATGGGGTGCCCGGGGGGGGGACGCCGTCGTCGCGCACTTGGACCTTCCAGGCGAGCGCGGGGGAATTGAGCGCAGGAACGCTGATCGGGAGTGCGCGTCGGACTTCGCCAGAAATGGCGGCGACAACCCCGCGGGGCGCGTTCCCGCGTGATCTCGGCCTTCGGTCGGGTCGCGGCGCAGGTCTGACGGCATCGGGCGCGCGAAAGCTGACGTGCGTGGAAGAGAGGGGTTCTCTGCACAAACAGGGTCCCCAGCTCGTCGAGGTCACCACGGGGGGCTCCAACATGTGCCAGGGAGCCCCGAACGCAGCGAGGGAAATGGATATCAAGGAGCACGTAAGGCAGGGTCGTAGCTATTCGGCAATCGCCGAGTCCAGTTCGAACGTCCTGTCGAGCCCCGCCTCGTCGCCCGCAGATTTGCCGCGCGACGAAGAGATCAACTCGATGGTGTATTCTCCAGACTTCTCCCCTTTCGACCCAGAGGGCGAAGCCGAGGTGTTCGCCACCGAGGATGGCCGCCTCAACGATGACGATGCGATGGTAGCATTGGCAGATATCAACACACATTGCAGGCATTCCTGGAAACATAATCGACAGAATCGTGATCTTGAGATGCATCAAGGTGGGCCCACCGTTGCTCCACCGAAGGCCCCAGTGGCAACGCGCGCATGGCGTGCCCGCGCCAGTGTCGGCACATCCGTCGCACGCGTCGTTGCCGCATCAGGGGTTCACCGTGGGCGGTCCTCACAGCCGCATGACCTACATTTGCACATGGTTGCGTCCTTTGCCCTGATAATTGTAGTTCCGAAGGTCTGAGGTGTTCTCTTGGATCGGCGGAGCGCGCCAGGGGCGGGGCCCAGAGGCGCCGCCAGGGCACTGCAGCGCCGATGAAAGTCTATGATTGCACATAGGAAAGAAGCGCGTTTTATGGTTGCCTGGAGGGGGTGGGGTTGGAACCGTGCCCCCCCCCCCCCTGGATTGAAGGGGGGGTGGTTCGACTCCCCCCCATTTCCGTGGCGGAAAGGTGGGGGGGAGTGTTTGACCCCCCCCCTTTTTTCCCTCTCGCCTTCCCTACTCCTCCTCTCTCCCTCTCCCCGGGCCGGCGCCAGCCTCGGCGGCGGCTGGCGGCGGCGGCGGGGAGCATCGATGAAGGCGATGACTTCCTCTTCTGGGCGGGCGCCAGCGCATGCGGAGGACGGTGGTGGCGGTGATGGTTGGTGGTGGCGGTGGATGTGATGGTGGTGGTGGTGGTGGTGTTGGTGGTGTGGTGGTTGTTGGTGGTAGTTGTGGTGGTTGATGTGGTGTTGGTGGTGTCGTGGTGGTTTGTGGTGGTGGTGGTGGTTGTGGTGGTAGTTGTGGTGGTGGTGGTGGTGGTGGTGTGGTGGTTTGTCGTGGTGGTTGTGGTGGTGGTAGTGGTTGTGGCGCGAAGTGGGTTGTGGTGGGGGTGGTGGTGGCGGTGGTGGTGGTTGTGGTGGTGGTGATGGTGTTGTGTTTTGTTGTGGTGGTTGTGGTTGTGGTTGTAGCGGTGGTGGTGGGTTGGTTTGTTGTGGTGGTAGTGGGTTGTGGTGGTGATGGAAGTTGTGGTGTGGTGGTTTGCGATGGTGGTGGTGGTGGTGGTTGTGGCGGTGGTGGTGGCGGTGGCAAATTGTTGTGGTGGTGGGGGTGGTGGTTGTGGCAGTGGTGGTGGTGGAGTGGTGGTTTGTGGTCCTGACGGTTGTGGTGGTGGTGGTGGCGGTGTGGTGGTTTGTGGTGGTGGTGGTGGTGTGGTGTTTTGTGGTTTGTGGTGGTGGTTAACGTGGTGGTGTTTGTGGTGGTGATTGTGGTGGTTGCGGCGGTCGAAGTGGTGGTGTTGTGGGTTGTATTGGTGGTGGTGGTAGTGGTGGTGGGTTTTCGTTGTGGTGGTGGTGGGTTGTAGTGGTGGTGGTGGTGACTATGGTGGTGGTGGTTGTGTGGTGGTTTGTTGTGGTGGTGGGTCTGGTGAAGGTGGTGGTTGTGGTGGTGGCGGTGGTAATGGTGGTGGCGTGGTGGTTTGTGGTGGTGGTGGTGGTGGTGGGTGGTGGGTTGTGGGTGGTGGTGGTGGTGGTGGCGGTGGTGGTTGTGGTGGTGGTGGTGGCGGTGGTGGTTTTTTGTGGTGGTGGTGGTGCGTTGTGGTGACGGCTGTGGTGGTGGTGGTGGTTGTGGTGGGTAGTGGTTGGTTGTGGCGGTGTTGTTGGTGGTGCTTGTGGTGGTCGTGGTGGTGGTGGTGGTGGTGGTGTGCGGTGGCCTGTGTTGGTGTGGGTGGTTGTGGTGGTGGTGGGTTGTTGTGGTTGTGGTGGTGGTGGTGGTGACGCTGGTGGTGATATGGTGGTTTGTGGTGGTGGTGGTGGTGTGGGCTTTGTGTCTTCCCGTCACCGTGTCCTGGTTTTGGGTTGCAGTTCCAATGGATGCCTCCTGGCGTCTCGTCAGAGGGGTCCCGGGGGCGTTTGAGGAGCATGTGTGAGGGTTCCTAGGCGCATCTTGGGCGTGTCTGGGAAATTCATCAGGGACCCCAGTGGTTTTCGGGAAGCGAAGGCTTGATATGCCAATTTGCACTTTCCCGTGGTGGCTTTCAGGCTGTTTCTGGTCATCGTCGCTGCGGCTGCCATTGTTACTGCCGCCCGCCGCCAGCGCAGGCGCCAGAACCGGCACCGAGGAGAAAGAAGGGGGTTGGGTGTTCGACCGCCCCCGCCCCCCCCAGAAGCCGGAAGAGAAAATTTTATTGGAGTTCGAATTTTCTACTCTTTTCCCGGGGGGGGGGGCGTTTGGACTTCCCTGGGAGGGTGGGAGGGGTCGGGAGCAGGGGGGGTGCGACCGCCCGATGCGCGCGAAGGAATGGAGGGGAGGAGGAGGTGAGGAGGAGGAGGAGGAGGATGGAGGAGGAGGAGGGGAGGAGGAGGAGGAGGAGGAGGGGGAGGAGAGGTGGAGGAGGAGGTGGGAGGGGTGGGAGGGGGAGGGGGAGGGGGAGGAGGGAGGGGGAGGGGGGGGGAGGGGGAGGGGGAGGGGGAGGGGAGGGGGGGGAGGGGTGAGGGGGAGGGGGAGGGGAGGGGGAGGGAGGAGGAGGAGGAGGAGGAGGAGGAGGAGGCGGAGGAGGAGGAGGAGGGAGGACAAGAAGGAGGAGGAAAAGGTGGAGGAGAAGTAGGAGGAGAAGAAGGAGGCGGCCGAGGAGGAGGAAAGGGAAAATGAGGGGCAGGGGGCGGAGGGGCACGAGAAGGAGAGAGAGAGACTCTGATGGCGACCCAGGGGGAGCAGCTGGAGCGGCAGATGCCCCCCGCGCCCGCGCTCCGCGCTCCGCGCCCGCGGGGCAGGCGCAGAAGCTGCTGGAGAAGAAGACGCAGCAGGAGCTGCTCGCTGGGCTCGGCAACCTGGGAGGCGCGCTTTCCCGTGGGACTAGCCCCGGGGGGGCGACGGCAGGAGGCGAGTTGCCCGGGGGGCGGGCGGGTATTGCGCGCGCAGTCGCCCGGGAGTTTCGCCGACGGCGTGGGCCATCGACGCCCCTGGAGGCACGTGCTGCGCTCCCTCGGGCAATTCGCCCCCGCCGTCGCCCCCGAGGCGCCGCTGCCCTCGTGCCGAGGCGGCCGAGGCGCTCGCCCGCGGAGGGCACCTGTGCAGTATTCGGGTGGGCAGATGCACTCCAGATTTCGTCATAGAAGGGAGGGGGTCTGGACCCTCCAAGACGGGCGATGTCAGACCTCCCCCTCGTGGGAGAACCCTCCAACACATCGTCCCCAGACCCCCCAGGCCCTCCAAGATAGCCTGGAATCGGGGGAGAAAAAGATACGGACACGTGTTGTCCACCTTTGTTTTCGGCCTATCCTGGTCCTCCTGGGGAATCCTCGTTGTCACCGCTGGATTCGCCTCGAAATTCTGGTCAGAACGCACCCCAAGAGAGGTCCGGGGACAACACGTATCCGTATCTTTCCGCCCCCCAATGGAAGAGACCCCCCCGGAATGAGACCCCCCTCCCTTTCACTTGCGAAACCTGGGGTATCCAGCGTGGGCCCCGCACGCTGAGAAGCGCTGCGCCGTGAACGTGTGTATCGTCGTGTGCTCCTTGAGGTGGCGTATGCCTCTGCATATGTACACCATAGGCGATGCTTAAGAAAACTTAAGTTTTCGGCCAGAGTCTCGATGATTCTTAACGTTTCAATGTAAATCTTAAGATTTTAATGGAAATGTTGGGTTTTTATTCAAGTTATGAGACTATGAATTTCTTAACCCATGATTTCTTAAGCATTTCGCAGGGTGTACCCATCGGTCGTTGAAAGTAGGTATTTTTGGATTCCCAGAGTCTGATCTACTTTCAGCGCCGTCCTGCTTCAAGAGCCGAGTGGTTGTCCCTCATCCTTCCTCTTCAGGAGGCGTGCGGAAACCCAATCCATTTCCAACGCCTTCCTACTTCGTGTTTCTACCTACTTCTTCCGACCGATGGGTATCTGTATAGACTGCGTGGGTTGTGACGTTTGAACTACGCGGCGCCATGTCTGTGGGGCCACCTGTGAGGCGTTAGCTACGCTGTGCAAGCTGTACTGAGCAAGCAATGCGGTCAGAGGTGTGCGGTGCAAGCCACACGGTGCAATATCATGTGTGCAGTTGATGTTTGCCAGTGTATGACTTGTCAATTCCATTGCTCGTGAAATCATCCCATCCTCCCACCCACACCTTGTCGTGCAAAACCCGTGCGGCCACGGTTGCGATGACTGCTTGGCTCTGGCTGGCGTTTCTTTGCGGCCACTTGCCTCCCAGAGCTGGGGATAGGGGATATCTCGAGCTGGGAGGGGGGACCCCACCACCTGAAGGACCTCTCCTCTGGCTCCTCGCGCTTGTGGTGGTGTTGGTGTCGCTTTTCCTTGTTCCTATGTGTCAGGGGTGGAGGATATCAGGCGGTTATCGGGCTCTTTCCTGTGGCATTGAGAGGTCGGGATTTGTTCGGCAGAGTGCCACGCTATAGTTTAGGAGCCCTTTTCTCCCAGCACCTTGATGGGCTCACTAAAGCAGGAATCCATTAGGCTAGGCCGAATACTTCAATGGCAGTTGCAGCTGAGGTTGCATGCAGAGCATGCGGACGCCGTGAGTGAAGACCCAAATGAATCTGAAGTTATGCGATCATCCGATGTACGGCGAACACACCACGTACAGCACAACATAACAGCATACACACTTGCAGCACCAGCTAAATCAGGCTAGCATAGACTACGATGCCAAGCCGAGCCTGAGCACAGCAGAGCTGCATCTAACGTCAGGCCACAGCTAAGCATCAGCACCCCCTTGCTGAGGGCCGCTGACTGCCAGAGTGCAGTTTGCTGGTTGCTTTTGTTTGCCACCAGCGCTTTCACTTACAACCAGACTCCCTCAGGACAGGGGACGTGGAACTGGGGGAGGGGGGAGGGAGAAGGGGGGCGGGGGGTGGAACACGAACAGATGGGAGGAGGAGAGAGGCCAGGGGTGTGGGGGGAACGGAGGGATTCGTGAGGGAAGAGGAGGATGGGGGGAAGGGACGGGAGGAGAAAGAGGAGGGGAAAACAAAAAGTGGGGGGCGGGAGGAACCAGGGTGGTGAAGGAGGGGGGGAGGAGGAGGCGGAGGAGGTGCCCTTGACGCTTCAGGTTAGCATCGCCGAGCAGCCTGCCTGAGGAGAAAGGAGGCGTGGAAGAGGAGGACGAGGATCTCTTCGCTTCTTCTCTGTTCTGTCTGTCGGGGGGGGGGGGGGGGGGCGCGCGCGGCGCGCGTCTGGCCACGGCAGCGTGCGGCGCGTTCCGCCCAGACCTGGGGAAGCTGGCGGACCTCGGCGCGTCCTGACGGAGGCCTCCGCGCCGCTTTCCCGGCGGCGGGGGGGGAGGGAGGAGGGGGAGGAGGGGGAGGAGGGGGGGTTGGAGGAGGAGGGAGGGACAGAAGGGACAGAAAATGGGAGGGAAGGAGGGAGAGAATGGGAGAGGGACAGGAGGGGGAGGGCGGAGAGGAGGACATGAGGACAGGAGGACAGGAGGAGGGGGAGAGCAGTGGCAAGAGGGGGACCAGTGCAAACCCAAGACTCACCAACGATGTTGGAACCCACCCTCCCTCAAAACTCCAATGGTATAGTCCCCTACAGAGGCCCACTTCTACTAAGGAAATGTTTGCCCGTTGGAGGACAACCGTGTGAAATTCTTGAAGCATGCCAGAAACCAGCGTCAGGACTCCAACGCCACGGGTTAACCTCACTGTTAGGTCTTGGCGATCCTGAATCGTGCCAGAACACCTTTCTTGGGATTCAACACCGCGGAGCCAATGATGTTCTTGCAGCAATTGAAGACGAATGTGGGCGGCGCGAAGGCGAGAGCCACATCGTGAAACTTGTTCAACGTTTTAAGACGAATGTGCTCGGCACCTTGGCGAGAGCAGCATTTTGAAAACGACCCGCCATCAACGTGCGCGGCGCCAAGGCGAGAGCTATATTAAAAAAACGAGCCGCCCACATCCCGTGAAACTCCTTGCACTTGTTGAATACGAATGTGCGCGGCACTGCGGCGAGCGCCAAATGTTGAACACGATCCGCCCTCGACCCGTGAAGCGCTTGGAACGTTGGAGCAGTATTGTGCGCGGCGCCAGGGCGAGAGCCACCTTTTGCGAACGAGCCGCCCCTCGTCCGTCACACTCTTGCCAGCGTTTTTCATACCACTGCGCGCGGCACGAGAGCGGGAGCCACATGTTGCAGACGATCTGCCCCCCATCCGTGGAGCTCGTGCCAATGTTTCACCGAGTGAGCGCGGCGCTGAGGCAGGAGGAGGCGGGGGAGGAGGAGGATGATTCGGGGGAGGAGGAGGAGGAGGAGGAGGAGGAGGAGGAGGAGGAGGAGGAGGAGGAGGAGAAGGAGGAGTGAGGAGGAGGAGGCGGGAGGAGGAGGAGGGGGGAGGGGGAGGAGGAGGGAGGAGGAGGAGGAGGAGGAGGAGGAGGAGGAGGATGAGGAGGAGGAGGAGGAGGAGGAGGGAGCATCTTGGGAGCCCCTGGGGACGCTCTTCGCCGAGGCGAGAGCCACACTTTTGACAGCCGCCCGCCCTGCGTCCGTGGAGCTCTAAGGTACGCTTTTTTGGGGCGACGCCGCGCGGCGCTCCGGCGAGACCTCCGTCCGTGGAGCTCCTGCAGACGTTTCCCGACTCTCCTCTCTCTCCTCCCTCCTCCTCCTCCTCCTCCTCCTCTCTCCCCTCCCTCCTCCTCCTCCTCCTCCTCCTCCTCTCCATCCTCCTCTCCTCCTCCTGACGTCATCACCACGTGCGACAAAGGGCAGGAGGGCTCTCTCATTGATTTCGCAATGGCCAAAAACGGAACATCTTCCAGATACCGAGTTCGGTCGCAGCCTCAGGTCCCGTGGAAGACGCACTGTGCACTGCAGGTTGACGTCCACGATGGCATGCGCAGATGGTGGTACCAGAAACTTTTGTTACCTGAACCGTTTCCAAAGGTAGCCAGACCCAAGCTCGCTTCGGATCCCAGCAGCAAGAGGTCTATACTTCGAGCCCAACGGCAAGAGCAAGAACGGGCACGCGTACCACCCGATCTGCTGGAAGACTACGACGCACGACACCCTTCAAGGAGCACTTTGGATCCTGAGTCCCAGGTCTCTTTTCACATACCTTCAGACCTGTGGGAAGAGCAGCCCTCCAAGGAGAGGCTCAGCTCTCAATGCTGCAGCGTGGTCGAGTCTGAGTTGTTGGGCCATATCAACGCACTTGGCCTTGGTGCCGTCACCAGGCAGTACGCGCGGTGGTCCTCAGGAGTGGAACGTGCTTTCGCACTTCATCATCAGCTCAACCCTCGACAGCGAGCCCCACGCGCAGCTGGATTTTCTTTACGATGGATGCAGACCAAAGCTACCCCAGGGCGAGTGCACATGACTGATGGAGCTGGAGAATGGTGGGGAACTGTTCTTACCTTGGTTCAAAGAGTCATGGCTCTTCTACGACATGGCAAGGATCCTCGCCAGATAGCTATTTGTACCGCAGCTCTTGGTCGCTACACCAACGACGCTAGCAGCTTCGACCCATCTGATTTCTTTGGTCCAGGCTCTGAGGGCACCGCTAATCAGCAGCGGTGGGTTTCTTGGTCGCGCGCATTCGCGAGCGCCACCGAGATGGAGCGCGACGATTTTGCCTACTTAACTGAGAAGCTGGCCTGTCGTTCTCAGGCAAGATGCTTGACCTTGAGGCGGCATTCGTTCATCCGTTGGGCCAAGGGAGTTTGGACATCTAAGCCCGGCCTGCTCCACTCATTGGTGAAGGAACCCAAGGCGGTCTCTGCCGACCCCTTAGTGGATGGGCGAGTCGTTGGAGACCCAACTGTCAGAATGGAACACACCAGATCCACCTGGGAGAGACTCTGGCACGACCCAGTCGACTCTCAGGCCGACATCCTCGCCATGTTCAAGCGCCTGCACGCGCAGAGCCGCGAGGAGGAGCTGGATCCCGTCAGCATCGAGCAGGTGGACAATGTTATCAGGGTTTTAGGCACCAAGACATGCGGAGTTGACTCCATCACACCTCTGGACATCCAGCGACTTCCACTCGAAGGTCGGTGTGATTACTGCAGGCTTCTCAACAGCATTGAAGAACATGGAGTTTGGCCTGCTCAGATATTGGCATCTATTGGAGCATTATTACCCAAACCCAAAGGAGGAGAAAGGGTCATTGGATTACTTCCAGAGACGGCGAAGATTTGGTCCCGCGTGAGAGCAGGCGTCACGTCCACATGGACTAAGGAGCTCTCTGATTTCTGGGACACTGCAGTGGCGGGCAGCAGCTCGCTTCGAGCAGGTCTCTTGCGAGCGCTGCTCGATGAATCCGCAGTGGCGCTTGGCATCTCGGCGGCGACCCTACTCCTGGACTTCGAGAAGTTCTACGACTCGTTATCCTGGATCCTCATCGGCCAGGCTGCACTCGATCTCAAGTTCCCAGCGATTGTGGTGCTACTGGAGCTGGAGATGTGTGCTGGGCCGCGGTTCTTGCGTGGCTCTCTTGGCGTTGCAGACGCCATCTACGCCACCAGATCACTCGTTGCAGGACCCCAGCATGGGGTAAGGATTGCCAAGTTGTTTTTACATCCATTGATGGAGGCGGCACATCGCAGAGCGAGTTTCAGCACCTTCTGGACATTCATCGACGACACGGTTGCCCGCGCAGAGGGCACGCAGGCCAAGGTCCAAACAGAGATCCTTCACGCCACGGTCACTCTTGCCGACCTCGCCAAGCAATTCCGTCTTAAGCTTTCGGACAAGTCTGTACTCATTGCCACTGTTCCGCAGGACGGGAGGAGGACAGCCGCTCAGTTGCAGAAGCGAGGTATCCCTGTACGGTTCGGCCTTCACGGCACGGATCTTGGCATTGATGCGGCATCTGGCAAACGGCGCACAGTCACTAAGGCCAGAATGAGGTTGACCGCCAGCAAGAGGAGGGCGGCTCGCATTGCCCGCATACGCAGACATGCTCCTCTACGACGCGAAGCTCAAGGTCTTTGGACCACAGGCGCAGCTCCTCAAGGCTCCTACGGACACCAGGCCCATGGCATGTCGCCGTCCAACGTCCTCGCCGTCAGGCGGCAGGCAGCCGTGGCGGGAGCTGGGCCCATGAAGGGCAGGTGTCTTACGACAACACTGGCGGTCCTTTACGGTCTCAAGGATCCAGCCCTGGAGTTACGTCGAGGCCTTCTTTCAGAATTTCTCTGTCTCTGGAAGACCGACACCAGCATTCACCGTCGAGTTGAAAATGCTTGGACTGTCATTCATCGGCGGCTTCTCGCAGCTGGCGCCAGCAAGAGATGGAGACTGGTCAAAGGACCTATTGGAGCTGTTATTGCGACCCTGCTTGACGCGGGATGGGAAGTACCCTCGGTCCTCCGTTGGAGGAGACCCACTGTCGGAGGAATCGAGGAGTGGCTGATTCCAACCGCACGTCGTGCAGGCTACGACCCCACTGGGTTCGACATCTCCGAGCTACTGGACGATGTGGTCACTGATTTTCGCGCTCAACTTTGGAACAATGCTTCGAAGCACATTGCAGGGGATGGCCTGGCTGAAGGAGCTGACCTCTATTGGGCCAGGCTGGAGCTCAGCCACTTCGCCAAGAGGGGGGAGCTCGACCTGTTCGGCTTCAATTTGTGCGTGGTCACGGGCGCCCAGTGGACGATGGACAGGCAGCGCCCTCTGAGCGAGCCCGCAGACCGCCTGTGTCCGCGATGCCAGCAGGAGGAAGAAACTCTTGCGCATCGCATGTGGCGTTGCCCCTGCAATAAAGACCACAGTGATTTTACGTCTACTGATCATTTGATTCCGCAAGCGTTAGCGTCTGTTGAATCTGAACCAAGCCTTTGGCTGAGAGGTGTTCCGCCTACCCGTGTCACCCACCCTGTGTTCAGGGAGCCGTTGGAGTGCCTGAGCAGAGCCCAACTAGGTGAGGTCCCTCTTGGAGCCTGCTCTAGAGACCCTGGCAGTAGCCCGTTGATCGGCTTCGGGGACGGATCTGGAGGGCGCTTTTCGTCCGACCCTCGTCGCCGTCGGTGTGGCTCCGCTGTTGTAGTGGTCAGGGACGCGCGACCTGGGGAGGGACCTTTGCGTTGGGCCGTCTTGGGGGGCATCTCCGAGATTTTGCGAGGCCCTTCGCAAACGGTGCCCAGGTCGGAGCTGCAGGCATTCGCACTCTTCCTGGAAGGCACCACAGGTCCTGTCCATTTTGTGACTGACCACAAGCCTCTCATGACGGGGTGGAATCGGGGCCGTGCTTGGAGTTTGGGGGGGAGGAACAGCGATTTGTGGCTGCGAATTTGTTGCGCCA